CTTGTAAGTGGGTTCGAGGCCATCGGAAGTGCCAGAGATGCGACACAGTGGGCGCACACGAGAGAAGCGAGTCAATGAGCGGTCTGCCACGTGAGTCTTAGATGCGATATGATCACTTAGTGGGCCCGACGCCGTCGCAGCCCAGCACTCAGGGCTGATGGCTCACTCACTCACACATGAGTCGGCGGGCACTCGGGTGCCCGCAATGTAGCAAGCCTAACTGCCGCCTCCGATACAGCAACGGTGTGCTCCCGAGGACACCGCGAAGACCCAACCCGCCTGGTAGATGGAACTACGGGGCGGCCTGGCTCTTCGCCGCTGCCCTCGGGAGATACGCACCGCGGCCGCAAAGCCCGCTCGCGAAGCGAAGAGAAATGAGATGGGCGGGACTTGCCTGTGAGAATACGACATGATCCGCCGAGGCCGCGGCGCGGACAAGTCTTCGCGTACTTGCGGCCGGGCTCCGTCAGTCGGGCAAGGTCACCATCGTACGATGTGCGATGCGTGGCGGTTGCATTCGTATATTTACCCGTACGCACAGACATATCGCGCGCATCGTCCCCTTCCCCCTCCTCCTCACTCGCCATCTTCTGTGGTCGATGGTCGACGCCCTCGCGACCACGTTCACCGATGCGCGCCACCCCCACCCCATCCTCCAGCCGGGCTCGCACAGCCCACAGCCCCCCAGTGGTGCGCCTGTGAGGAACCAGACAGGTCAGTCGTACTCGCGCTCGCGTCCCCACATCCTCTCACATCGCTTGCACAGCTGCAACACGGTCAAAGTCCGCACGAACGCGACACAATGCGAACGGTACGCACCTCTCCATCCGCGGACTCGTCGGACGGTGTCTGCCATTGATCAGGACGCGTCTAGGTCCTCCTTCCACCCATGCTCACACCGCACCGGCAGGCTCGTCTTGGCCGCATTCGTCTGGATACTATGGGGTTCAGGTCGTTTTCCTATCGCACATATGGCACACAACTCACACCTCCGTTACCAGATCTGTGCACCGCGCGAGTGCGGGCTGCGCGTCCGCGAGGCGAGCGAAAGACAGATGGCTGTACTAGGTATGATTGTAGACATTCCGCGGCGAGAGGAGTGCGGGGCATGAGCGACGTCGTGTCCAGGTGTGGTGCTGCAGGTGAGTATATCCGCGCCACACCGTACGATGCTGACTACTTACATTATCCACCTATCCAGTTCGACCGTGCTCCCGCCACGCAGGAGCGTGAGTTCGACGATGCGCATCGCATAGCGGCGTCCGCGTCGCGACGAGTCAGACAGGGCGCGACACGTCGCCGAACGCGAAGCCGCGCACGCACCTCCGCAACAACATGTCTGCGAGCCCGCGCACGTTGCGTGCGCCCGCGCGAGTGTCGTAGCACGTATGCCCTGCGCTCGCACATCATCAAGTGAGTGATCGTTCGACCTCCCTGCAGCGTCTCCCATCTCTTGTAACCTGCGGGACGACTCGTTTCAGCGCAAGATTGCCACGACAGTACGGTACGCACCTCCATGATCGCGCCGTCTTCGCACCTACTGCTGACACGTCCAGACTGTCCGTACGGTGCACACTCTACGCTGCACGCAAGCACGACGCGTATCGCCCTGTGCACACGGCGAGGAAGGCCACGGCGCTGGCTACTACACGGTGAGGAAGTTCAGCTCAGTGGACGTGACAGGCTCACCTGCTACTTCATCCGAACAGATACGGCGCCGCGATCGTAGCACGACGCGAGCACGATGCGCCCCGGGCCGGCGCACACGGCAGAAAAGCGGCACTGCAATGTAAGGAAGCTCAGCATTCTGGTGGTACGTCTCTGGACGTGACGAGCTCACCTGCTGCTTCCTCAGATCAGATACGGCACGATCCCGACGCGGGGCACGCAGCCGACAAGCCGGCTTGGGCGGGGCTGCAGTAGAGTAGTTAGTGCCGTGTATATCGTAGTAGCCGGCCTGCACGCTGCCGCGCGAGGAACGGGCGTCGCGGGCCGTGGCGCAGGCGTCGTGTCTGGCGAGGTGCGGCTGACGCGGCGGTGCGCACGCGCCGAGGAGAGGCGCGGAGGCGCGGAGGTACGTCGCAAAGGCTGCATTGAGGGGCGGGATGCGCGGTAAGTACATGACGGGACTAACTACGGTGTCCATAGCCCGGACCGCCATCCGCCGCGGCGTACCGCGCGCACACGAGGCCCCCGCGCCGCCCACCATCGACGACGTGCCGAAGAGCGTGGCGCCCGCGCCGTACGCCTCCCTGGGCGCCCTCTCGCGGTGTTCGCGCGCTCGCCGCTGGCGGTGTCGTCGCAGACAGGCTCGTACGCGCTGGGGCACCGTGCAGCGCCTGGACACTTCTTAGCGTCCCGCACGCGACGTCGAGAGCGCGCCACGCACCTCCTGGAGCCCGACGTATGCGTCTGCGACGTGCTGGAGGGCATATCGCACCTCCCGCGACGTCCGCGCTCCCAATCGTCTCTGTTGTCGCGGGAAGCCCCATACGCCCCAGGGCACCTCCACGACTCTCAGCCTCCCGTACGCGCCCTCGAGAGCGCGCCACACACCTCGCCGAGCCCGCCGCACATGCCCGCGCGTCGTACCCGACGCGTACGCGTCCTAGTCACGGCCTACCCTATC